AAAATATTAACCTAAAAAAAAAAAGAGGCAGCGTAGGTGGAGTTCTTCATTTCCAAGAAGAGAGTGCATTCGCATTGCTGAGCGCTTGCCAGTACATTCCGTTTCCCTTTCTGCCACTCTTGATTTTTGCAGTGCATCATTTCCTGTATTACTTTTGCACAAAGTGGTCTTATCAGCTGGAAGTGCAAAATAAAGATTAAACCACGAGTCAGCAGATTACACAGTCTGCGTCCTTCTTCCCCAAATACACATGCCCTTCTGGGAAAGTAGCAGCTAGTATTTCCAATAGCTGACTGACCACCAGCCCTTGAAGGGTATATTTATTCACGAGGTACGGGTAAAACAGAAGCCCAGGCCAAACAACAGGACACTTTCCAAAAGGCAGCCTGGAATCAATTTAAAGGAAATTGAGTTGTTACCCACTTATCAGCCACTCTTTACACATCAAAACCCATGCACTTTTTATTATGCATTCTGTCTGCCGATGGATGAGTTGGAATCGACAAAATTCTTTTAAATTCCAGTGCTACTTTATTTGTCTTCTTTCACTGCTGCTGTCTTTTGTGTAATCTTTGGACTAACATTCAAACCTGCATGTAGCTTGTGAGAAGCCTATTAAAAAAAGTGAGCATTATATATATAGCTGTTTAGCCACCTTTCTATTTAAACACATGTATTTAGGAATTGAACACCTAAGAGTGAAGTTCTATTTTTCTAGCCCTCAAATAAGAGATAGTTACCCTGCCAGCAACAGTAAGCAGACAGTAAAATAGTCAATGAGACTATTTTCAAATTCCCACAGGAGATGCCATAGGAAACTGTTCCACTTTGCATAAATGACTGATTTTGGTGGGCGGAGAAAGGGTTAAGACAATTAGATGATCCTCTCCCCAAAGAAAAATGAAACAACTCCTAGCCCAAGTTTCAGGCAAAAAAGAAGTGGCTCTAACTCTTCTACTAATTTCATTATTTGTATTACAGGCTCAGTGATGCAGGCAAAAATGATCCCATTAAATATTTTTAATATATGCTCAGCACAGTTAGACATAAAAAGGGGCAGGAACCACAGTGAAGAGAATCTACATAATTGTTAATGGAGAAAACTGTCTAGTCTTTGACTATATTTTAAAAATCCAATTTACATTATTTTACACAACATACCTCCTCCCAGCGTCCATTACTTATTGACAATACCAAGAAATAAAAGCAGAGAGATCTTAATTTGCTTCTTTAAAAATATGTAGTAATTTACCTTCTCTGAAAGACACATCTTTTCACCAACTCATGTGCTCAGTACAATATTTAGACCTTTTTTTAAAAAAAAGAAAAAAGATCAGATTTTGGCATAGAAGCCAGGGAGCTGTCACTCTACTCCTGCAAGAACTACTTCCATGCAGTCTAAGCAGCTGTAATGCTAGAATGTGTTACAACAGATTGCACGCTAACTTCCTCTGGCTCCCTATTCTTGGAGCAAGCAGCAGAAAGTTTCGATTTCTTTCTTTACACGGTGTCACTCATAAAGCAAAAAGTCCAGAGTCTTCTGCTGAAATACTCTGTTGTTAATCAGAGAGTTCTTTCTTTGCACCTTCTTATGGTAGAAGATCAGGTATTGCTCATCTTGGAAAGACGCACGGAAACCTGGTAGAAGCCTCAGTGACATTACAATACACATGCAAAAAGAAAGCAAGTTTCATTTCAGGGTGCTGTAAAACTCATTAGAATGAGTTTATACAGAACCTGACTTGGCTTCTCTTGTGTTTCAGACAAGGACAAGGAAAAAAAAACTAACTCTTTCGTATGTCTTCCTGGCACTGTAGAAAGAAATTAAAACAAACTTCAACCACTTAAAAATGCAATCATGTTAACTTCTGCTACATATCATATTGATATAGGTATCAATATGTGATACATACATACCTGTATCAAGCGTTCGAGGAAGGAGAGAGCACACTGGTGCTGAAAGTACTTCAACATACTTAGCAGGAACAGGTAGCTTTTTTCCTAACACTGCATTAGACTCCCTAATTTAGGCCCAGCAAGGGCAAGGAGGATACTTCCAGCCTATTCTGTCTTGGATCCTGAGAGACAGATCATAGCACCTGGCCTGAGAAACCTCCTCTGGGACCACTGCTCATACTATTTGGCTGAGGGATCACCCTTCCAGGAAATCCTCCCGTATGTCATTGTTCAGCCCACAGAGAAAATCCTTTTAGATGCCTGCATGCACCCTTTACTTC